GCCCACCCCCAAAAAAAAATAAAAAAATTTAAGTTTGTTTTTAAAAAATATTTTCAACTTCAAAATTTCAATTTTTCACCCCTACCCTCGACCTCACCTCCCACCCCCCAAAAAAATTACACTTTTTTTCTTGAAACATATTATTTTAACCTCTCATAGTCGAAGAGTTCTTGTATAGGTGGGTAATGAAGAGTTTTCTAAATAAAATTTAAGTTTGTTTTTTAAAAAAATATTTTCAATTTCAAAATTATTTTCTACTCTAGTAAAAATAAAAGATATTTCTCAAAAATATTTTTCATTCATAAATCAAACATTAAAAATCTTTTCCGGAAAATATTTTCTACTCACCCACCAAACATGAGAAAATAAGTCAAAAATCAACTTGTTTCCAGGAAAACATTTCCTTCATACCAAACACACCCTAAATTTCTTCCATTTGTGCTAATTAGTGAATGTGTGTTGTGTAACACAGCCTTGTAAATTTGATTTTAAAGATTGACTCCTATTGACTTTGCTCTTAAGTCTTAAGGGGTCGTTTGGTGTGATGGATAAGGGGAGTTAATCCTGGGATAAATTTTGAGCACCATTTAATCCTTTGTTTGGTTGCACAACATGGGATAATTTATCCCAGGATTAATAATTAGTCCTGGGATAAGTTATCCCTATCTTTGGGTGGAATAGTAATACCGGGATTAATATATTCTTTCATCTCACGATACCATATCGTGATATGGTATCGCATGGCCAAACGGGCCATTAGTTTCCTCCTTTTAATCTGTCTTTACATTAATCTGTTTGTTACTTATTTTCCTCGTATGAATCTGTTTTCACATTTTTGGAAATTATAGTCTATACTTTTTCAACACTTTATTTGTTTTAGTGTTATATATATATATATATATAGTGGAGTAAATTTGATATTGGAAATACAACACACACAAATTAATATGGAGAAGCACATCTTCTTATTGATTCTTCTCTTTCTAATTCAATTTTCTATATCATTTGCTTCCTCTAGTGAGACTGACCAACAAGCTCTATTAGCTTTCCAAAATCTTATTACAAGTCCCACTCATTTTTTGGCCAACAATTGGACCAAAAATACTTCCTTTTGCTCTTGGTTTGGTGTCACTTGCACTCCAAAAAGGCAATGGGTTGTGGCCTTGGCTCTTCCTAATTTGCATCTTCAAGGCACAATCTCAACGTCTTTGGCCAATTTGTCCTTCCTCAGTGTTCTCAATCTCGAGAACAACAACTTCCGCGGTGGCATCCCTTATGAACTTGGCCACTTGCCTCGCTTGCGAGTGATTGATATTCAAAACAATCAGCTCAACGGAAGTATACCAACAAGTCTATTTCAACACCGGAGAGTTCAAGTAATTTCATTGGCTTTCAATGAACTCGGTGGTGAAATGTGGAAAGGGCCATGGTATGTACCCAAACTCAGAGTCTTGGATCTCACCAACAATAACCTCACGGGTATGATCCCTCCTTCTGTTGGAAATGCCACAAAAATGATGAACTTCAGTTTGTCTGGGAATAGAGTCAGCGGCAACATTCCAAAGGAGGTCGGTAATCTGAGCCAACTTGCAGACTTGTCCTTGACTGACAATCAATTAACAGGTTCCATTCCTGTAGGACTATTTAATATCTCGTCGCTACTTGCCATAAATCTGCTATACAATAGACTTTCCGGTCCTCTCTTGCTAGATGAAGGAATTTTTTTGTCAAATCTGAAGTTTCTAAGTATATCTCGCAACCAGATTTCTGGTTGCATTCCTTCCAACATATGCCAACTCAGAGAGCTCAAAGTTTTGTCCATATCTTTCAACAACATAACTGGAGACATACCCAAAAATATTGATTGTTTATCCAATCTCCAGGAGTTTTTTATTCGTCATAATTCAATAAAAGGGACTATTCCCACTTCATTGGGAAATATTTCAACTCTGCAATATCTTTATTCTGGAAGCAATCTCATAGTGGGGCCAATTCCTCCAGAATTAGGGAAGCTATCAAATTTGAGGGTATTAACCTTTTCCAATAATTCTCTTATTGGTCAAATTCCAGAGGCTATTTTCAACATATCTTCTTTGGAAGTGATTGTTTTCAATTTCAACAATCTCTCCGGGAGATTTCCAACCACTACAGGTCTTCATCTTCCGAACCTTAAAGTACTTGAGTTGGGAGTCAATCAGCTGGAAGGGGAAATTCCATTGTTCATAACAAATGCTTCCAAGCTTCAGATACTGGCGCTAGAACATAACTCTCTCACGGGAGCTATTCCTACTAATTTGGGGAATCTTCATGAGCTGCGATCACTCATACTACATCGTAATCAACTTACCAATGAACCAAGAGAGAGTGAGTTGTTATTCTCCAATTCTTTGGCGGACTGTAGGATGTTGCTATGTATAGATGTGGGTGAAAATCCGTTGAACGGCGTTCTGCCCAATTCTATTGGGAATCTTTCATCTACTCTTGAATACTTGAATATACAAGATGCACACATCAACGGCCTCATTCCCACAGGTATAAGCAACATGAGCAGTCTAATGACACTAGACTTTCAAGGAAACAACTTGACAGGGAGTATTCCTTCTGATGTTGGTAAGCTTAAACAACTCCAAGGTCTGTTTCTAACTAACAATAAATTGCATGGACATATTCCAGAGGCGGTATGCCATTTATCTAATTTGGTTCAATTATTTCTAAATGGTAATGAGCTCTCTGGATTAATTCCAGAATGCTTAGGAAATCTTAGCATGCTACAGAAGCTTTATTTGGGTTCTAATAAATTTTCATCAAAATTTCCGTTGAGCCTTTGGAAGATGAGTGGTCTTCTCTATCTAAGTGTGTCACAAAATTCAATAGAGGGAGAAGTTCCATCAGATATTGGAGGAATGAAAGCCATTGTAGAACTATATCTTTACAGTAACCACTTTTCAGGAATGATACCAACCAGATTCGGGGAACTCCAAAACCTGCAGTATCTTGACCTATCAAACAACTCATTTTTTGGTCAAAATTCCATTTATCCTTTGCCAACTTGATAAGCTTAGAATACTTGGATTTGCTTTAAATGTATTGTCAGGTACTATTCCTAAGTCTTTGGTAAAAACTCTCATACCTTAAAAGCATTAATGTTCATTTAATGATTTAGAAGGTGAAATACCGAGTGGTGGCGTTTTTGCAAATTCAACTCTGCAATCATTTATTCGGAACAAAGGTCTTTGCGGAATACACATATTGGAGATTCCTGCTTGTGCTATCAATAATCCTGGAAAACAATCAAAGCTTAAGGAGGTTCTACTAAAAATTGTTACTCCAGTGGTTATTGCATCCTTTTTGATATTCTTGTTGGTTTTAATTTGGATAATGAAACAACAGAAGAAAGGAAAGTCCAAAGATGTTGAACAGGTACTGGAGATCAGGACTCATCATTTAGTTTCTTATCACGAGATTCAACGAGCAACAAATAATTTTGATGAATCCAATTTAATTGGTGAGGGAAGCTCTGGTTCTGTGTACAAAGGCACATTGTTTGGTGGAACTGCAGTGGCCATTAAGGTTCTAGATTTGGAAAATGAGCAAGTATGCAAAAGGTTTGATACCGAATGTGATGTAATGAGAAATGTTAGACACAGAAATCTTGTTCCAGTGATTACTACATGTTCTAATGACTATATAAGAGCCTTTGTTCTGCAATTTATTCCCAATGGAAGTCTTGAGAATTGGCTCTACAAAGAAGATCGCCACTTGAACCTTCATCAAAGAGTCACTGTAATGCTTGATGCAGCTATGGCAGTTGAATATCTACATCATGGTCATGTCACTCCAATAGTTCATTGTGACCTCAAGCCAGCCAACATTCTTTTGGATGAAGATATGGTGGCTCATGTTGGTGATTTTGGAATCTCTAAAATTTTAGCAATAAGCAAGTCCATGGCTTATACCGAGACATTGGGCACTCCTGGATACATTGCACCAGGTATAAAAAACCTACTCTCTTTGATTTTCTCTTCTCATAATTAAGCCTCTCCAAATTCTAAAAGTAAAAAGAGCAAGTCTTTATTTATGTAGAATTATTGTTGTATTTCAATTGAATTAACTTTTTTTTCAATCCTTTTTTAAGAATATGGCTCGGATGGAATAGTGTCTGCTAGTGGCGATGTTTATAGTTACGGCATCATGTTGATGGAGGTTTTGACGAAAAGAAGGCCAACAGATGAAGAGATATGCAATGAAAATCTTGACTTGAGGAAATGGATAACACAATCATTTTTAGGGAGTATGATGGACTTTGTGGATATCAATCTTTTTTCCAAGGAAGAACAGATCACTTCAAAAAGTGAAATCTGCATTGCGTCCATGATAGAATTGGGTTTAGACTGCACAATGGAAATGCCAGGATCAAGAATAAGCATGAAAGAAGTAGTGAAGAGGCTTAACAAAATCAACAACACATTTCTGGAAACACATAAGTGATCAGCATCTGTTCGGATGGTGTTCTTTTCTGAGCTGCAAGTTAATATGATGTTTTTGTTTCTTTAGTAAAGTCGTCGTATAGTACTACTTGGAGTCATGTATTGTTTGTAATTTCATTTGAGTATTTGAACCTATTTTACTTTATCTATTTGTAATTATGTTTTGAATGCTTGAAAGAAACCAGAATGAAATTAATAGTCGCTTGACTCCGGTGAGTTTTTAAGAGTTTTTCGTGAGTATTATTCCACAAACTTTTTTTTAAATTAGGGGTTTGTTTTTTTGGAAATTTGGATGATTCTTCAATTGGGTATGTCAGATTTTGCTTAAAGTTAATGTCTTTATCATTTTATCTGGTAGTATATGCTAAAAGGGTTTGTTTCTTGCCAAAATTTGGGTGATTCTTCAAATGGGTATTTGCAGATTTTGTTAAAGTTCATGTCTTCTCTTTCATCTGATTGTTTATGGTAACAAATGGACTTGATGAACTGAAGAGCTTGAACTTTTTTAGAAATTTCACACACATACACATGATCCCTGTGAATGGAGGATTGTTGGGCTAAATCAGCTCAAAGATACTCTTAATATGGTGTTATATTGTCCGTTTTAATCCAAGCCCTCACGGTTTAACTCAAAAAAGTACTACGTCGTTAATAGATCCTACATCTTATATGACGCTTCCCAATCTTTCAGCTACCAATGTGGTGCTTTGTGTCATTTGAGAATTCCCCTTATTAGAATTTGACACACACATACACTTGATCCCTATGAATGGCGGGTTGTTGGGCTAAATCAGCTCAAAGATACTCTTAATATGGTGTTATATTGTCCGTTTTAATCCAAGCCCTCACGGTTTAACTCAAAAAAGTACTACGTCGTTAATAGATCCTACATCTTATATGACGCTTCCCAATCTTTCAGCTACCAATGTGGTGCTTTGTGTCATTTGAGAATTCCCCTTATTAGAATTTGACACACACATACACTTGATCCCTATGAATGGCGGGTTGTTGGGCTAAATCAGCTCAAAGATACTCTTAATATGGTGTTATATTGTCCGTTTTAATCCAAGCCCTCACGGTTTAACTCAAAAAAGTACTACGTCGTTAATAGATCCTACATCTTATATGACGCTTCCCAATCTTTCAGCTACCAATGTGGTGCTTTGTGTCATTTGAGAATTCCCCTTATTAGAATTTGACACACACATACACTTGATCCCTATGAATGGCGGGTTGTTGGGCTAAATCAGCTCAAAGATACTCTTAGCATGGTGTGATATTGTCCGTTTTAAGCCAAGCCCTCATGGTTTAACTCAAAAGGTGCTACGTCGTTAAGAGATCCTTCATCTTATATGTAGCTTCCCAATCTTTTCAACTGCCAATGTGTGACTTTGTAACCGCAGAGGATGAACACATCTTTATTCCCGTGTGGATCCGGGTATTTACTTTTTAGTGCCTTGTGCCTTAGGTGTTATGTTCAAATCGCATATGTCCAAGCCTTGGTGGGTAGTTACTTGTTTGATTCGGGAATTAACTTTTAGTGCCTTAGGTCTCAGATTCAAATCGTACATGTCCAAGCCTTGGTGGGCAGTTACCTATGTTGGTGGGAGATAGTAAATTCCATGTGGAATTGATTGAGGTGTACACAGGCTGGCCTGGACACTAGAGTTATCGAAAAAAAGAATTTTCACCGACTTGAATTTCAGCAGATCAAAACTTTTATAGTTACAAGTAATTTGTAACAAAAATTGTGTCAAAGAAATAGAAACAGTGTCACTGTTTTTCTTGGACTTTTCTGTATTTGTGTATTGTTTACTCTCTTCATAATGAAGATTTGACTTTCGGTAGTGTCTATTTCATTTTACAGGAAAATGTAGATGAAGCAGTAAAGAAACTGAGAGATGGAGGAATTGAAGTGTTGGGATTAGTATGTCATGTCTCAAATGCACAACAGAGGAAGAATTTGATAGACAAGACCATTCAGGTATGAATTGAAATGATTCTGCCGTAAATTAACACTTCTTGGTCTGTGCTTGCATATCTCGGAGGTCAATTGCTATGTTGCTTGGACTCTTCAAAAATGTCGACGGGTGCGTGTCGGATCCTCCAAAGATAGTGTATTTTTGAAGGATCCGACACGGGTGTGGCAACATTTTTGGAGAGTCTGAGCAACTTGGGTCAATTGTATGTTATTTTCTTGGGAAATGGTTTTTGATCTAACAAGTTATGTAAAGCTAGTTGGTTTTTCTGATGTCTAACTACGGAAAATGAGAAGTCAATGCTTACTACTTTGTATGATCCAACTTTGTTAATTGAAATTTGTAATTTTTCAGAAATATGGGAAACTAGATGTGGTTGTGTCAAATGCCGCTGTCAATCCTTCAGTAGATGCAATATTAGAAACTAAAGCATCAGTCATTGACAAGCTGTGGGATATCAATGTCAAGGCCGCTATACTATTACTACAAGTAAGTTAATGATAAAAAAATCACGACAACAACGTTGCAAATGCATGTGTTACTTCGTCGAGCATTTATTGAATACATTGAAAGGCAATGACTATTTGTTCTAGTATCACATATTTCCATATACTACAAATTCTCGAATTCCTTTTCTTTTCCTTCATGTTCTGCTATTTCGCTCAATATTTTGATCTTTATACTGTTTATAGGATGCAGCTCCTTACCTTAAGAAGGGTTCATCAGTTGTTCTGATTTCCTCAATTTCTGGTTACTCGCCACCAGCTTCAATGGGTATGTATGGAGGGACTAAAACTGCGCTACTCGGACTTACCAAGGTACTAATGTTTAACTTGGCATCCATGGCACATGAGTAACTATTATATCCTATTAGTGCTTTCTTCTTATTGTCTTATTTGGAAAGCCAGGCTCTTGCAGCTGAAATGAGTCCAGATACTCGTGTAAACTGTGTAGCACCGGGTTTTGTACCTACACATTTTGCTGATTTCATCACGAGTAATGAACAAGTGGCAAGTTCTTATTAAATGAAATCTTACTCATAGCAAAATCTTATAAATATTCTCTATTTACTTACTAACTAGTTGCTGATTGTGTTTAGAGGAGAGAGATTGAGGGCAAGACATTACTCAATAGGCTTGGAACAACACAAGATATGGCCGCTGCTGTTGCTTATTTGGCTTCTGATGATGCTTCTTATGTAACCGGAGAAACTCTGGTTGTTGCTGGAGGAATGCCTTCCAGACTTTAACTTCTCGATTGTAGTGCCTCTCCTTCTGGTTTTAGTTAGCTTGCATCATATAATTTGTAGAATGTAATTTGTATAACTGTTTAAGTTCAGATGTTTGTGTTTGTATAAATTCGTTATTTCGAGTTTTATCATATTTGTATAATTGAGTAATACAATTACTCAATTATACAAGTACACACGAATTATACAACGAGGTGTGAATTATACAAATTACTGCCCTCTCTCGCTCACCTCTCTCCTCCCTCTCTCAATCTCGCTCGCCTCTCTCCTCCCTCTCCCATTCTCTCTCGCCTCTCTCCTCTCCAACCATGAAGCTACGAATCGTAATTAGCAAACTATAGTTATGGAGCATAATTAAGCTACTTTTGAGTAGCTATATGTAAAAATTTCCCTAGTTTCTATGACTTTTGTCAAACTATATTGTATAGTCCGAATTTTCGAATATTTTCTTTATGTAAATAAAATATGACTATATTTGTTGTAAATTAATTATTTTATTGTATATATTTGAAACTAGCCCTTTTTTTTCAAGTTCATAGCATAATAATTTCCCTTTTCATTTGAATTTGGTTAAATGTAATATATTTTGGAATTAAAAGGGAAAAAAAATACTAATTAAAAAAATGTATATATCAAATTACATATGACAACGGGTGTAGTGTGTGTCACAGTTTATTTTCTTTGAGAGAAAACCTTAAAATTTCTTCCATTTTGGCTAATTAGTGAATGTGTGTTGTGTAACACAGGCTTGGCTTTTAACAATATAATGAAAATTGATAGCAATTTTCTACATCACTTGCTTCCTCTATGAGACTGACCAACAAGCTCTATTAGCTTTCCAAAATCTTATTATTACAAGTCCCACTCATTTTTTGGCCAACAATTGGACCAAAAATACCTCTTTTTGCTCTTGGTTTGGTGTCACTTGCACTCCAAAAAGGCAAAGGGTTGTGGCATTGGCTCTTCCTAATTTGCAACTTCAAGGGATAATTTCGATGTCTTTGGCCAATTTGTCCTTCCTCAGTGTTCTCAATCTCGAGAACAACAACTTCCGCGGTGGCATCCCTTATGAACTTGGCTACTTGCCTCGCTTGCGAGTGATTGATATTCAAAACAATCAGCTCAACGGAAGTATACCAACAAGTCTATTTCAACACCAAGGAGTTCAAGTAATTTCATTGGCTTTCAATGAACTCGGTGGTGAAATGTGGAAAGGCCTATGGTATGTACCCGAACTCAGAGTCTTGGATCTCACCAACAATAACCTCACGGGTATGATCCCTCCTTCTGTTGGAAATGCCACAAAAATGATGAACTTCAGTTTGTCTGGGAATAGAGTCAGCGGCAACATTCCAAAGGAGGTCGGTAATCTGAGCCAGCTTGCATTTTTGTACTTGTTCGATAATCAATTAACAGGTTCCATTCCCGCAACACTGTTTAATATGTCGTCACTATTTGTCCTATCTCTGGGAAATAATATCCTTTCTGGTCCTCTCTTGGTAGATGAAGGGAACATTGTCTCAAATATGAACGTTGTAAGTATATCTCTCAATCAAATTTCTGGTTGCATTCCTTCCAACATGTGCCAACTCACAGACCTCAAACTTTTGTCCATATCATTCAACAACATAACTGGAGACATACCCAGAAATATTGATTGTTTATCCAAACTCAAGATGTTTCTTGTTGGAGATAATCCAATAAAAGGGACTATTCCCACTTCATTGGGAAATATTTCCACTCTGCAATATCTTTATTGTGAAAACAATCGCATAGTTGGGCAAATTTCTCCAGAATTAGGGAAGCTATCAAATTTGAGGGAATTATTCTTTGACAATAATTATAATCTTATTGGTCAAATTCGTAAGGCTATTTTCAACATATCTTCTTTGGAAGTTATTGATTTCAGTTTCAACAACCTCTCGAGCAGAATTCCAACCACTACAGGTCTTCATCTTCCAAACATTAAGCAACTTATCTTGGGAGACAATCAGCTGGAAGGAGAAATTCCATTGTTCATTACAAATGCTTCCAAGCTTAGAATTCTTGGATTTGTCTTTAAATGTATTGTCAGGTACTATTCCTAAGTCTTTGGAAAAACTCTACTACCTTAAAAGCATTAATGTTTCATTTAATGATTTAGAAGGTGAAATACCGAGTGGTGGAGTGTTTGCAAATTCCACTCTGCAATCATTTCTTCGGAACAAAGGTCTTTGCGGAATACACATATTGGAGATTCCTGATTGTGCTATCAATAATCCTGGAAAACAATCAAAGCTTAAGGAGGTTCTACTAAAAATTGTTACTCCAGTGGTTATTGCATCCTTTTTGATATTCTTGTTGGTTTTAATTTGGATTAATTGAAACTAACAGAAGAAAGGAAAGTCCAAAGTATGTTGAACAGGTACTGGAGATCGGGACTCGTCATTTAGTTTCTTATCACGAGATTCAACGAGCAACAAATAATTTTGATGAATCCAATTTAATTGGTGAGGGAAGCTCTGGCTCTGTGTACAAAGGCACATTATCTAGTGGAACTGCAGTGGCCATTAAGGTTCTAGATTTGGAAAATGAGAAAGTATGCAAGAGGTTTGATACCGAATGTGAAGTGATGAGAAATGTTAGACACAGAAATCTTGTTCCAGTGATTACTACATGTTCTAATGACTATATAAGAGCCTTTGTTCTGCGATATACACCCAATGGGAGTCTTTGAGGAATGGTTGTACAAAGAAGTGTCCAACTTGAACCTTTCTTTCTCTACACCGGAAATAAATTCACCATTTTGGTACCAACTACAACAGCAAAATCGCTGCCTTGACCATTCCTGACCATTGTTTTTATGAAGTGGATGAATTAAAAACTTGAGATTTTCAAAAAGTTTTATTTTTTTCAAAGTAATTATTGAGGGTATGGTAGATAAAAAATATTTGTCATTCTTAATTTGTCAAAATGAACAAGTAATTAGGGGACAAAGGGAGTATATACATATGTTTTTCTATTTCTTTCTTAATAATGCAAGTAACTGGAGTCCAGAACCAAAAGGGCAACAAAATTTTTTGAAAATTCTAAAAGGGCAACTAAATTATTTATCAAACCAAAAGGGCAACAAATGGTTTCCGCCGCAAGGCGTAGAAACCCATGTGCCTTACAAGGCTATGACAACTTTTAGCCTTGTAAGGCTATGACGGCTTTTAGCCTTACAAGGCGCAGACAAACCTGCATTTTGCAGGCTGTTCTTTTATAAAAAAAATTATTTTCTGAATTGAGTAAAAATTTATGAATAAAATTCCATTTTAGCATATGAATTTATACAAATTAGTAAATTCTTCAAGGGGCCTACTTTTTGTTATTGAAACAAGGCGCAAGCTCCTTGTATACTTCTTTTTTTATTTATTCTTTTACCTTTTTTTTTTCTTCAAATTTTTAGTAAACAAGGCGCAAGGGCCTGTATACTTGCTTCTTTTTTTTCTTTTTTTTTACGGAAAATAGCCAAAAATACCTTTGAACTATTTGAAAAGGTTTAAATATACTCCTCATCCACCTATTGGGTTAAAATAACCCTCCGTTCACCTTTTTGGTCCATTTTTACCCTTAAAACTAACACCCTTTTATTTTTTAATTATTTTTATTATTATTTATTACATGGCATTTTCTAATTGGATAAACCTAAATTCTAACCCATTAAATTTTCCTTCATCCGTCCCGACCCATATTTATAGCCCCATGACCCAAACTCAATTAAAAGACCCTTTAAAAAAAACATCTCTCTTTCTCACTAAAGCTATTTCAGAACCACCCATCAACTACAAGAAGAAGCATTTTCAGCTACTTCAACTTCTGTGTGAAAGCTTGAAGTTGATTATGATTGATTTTTGTGTATTTTTCTAACTTTTCTGTAATGATAATGTTTCAAGGTGAATTTATGATAACTCTTTTAAGAAATAATAACTTATTCTGGTTTTTGAAGATTGTGAAAAAAAGAAGAAGCTATTTCAAGACCAAGTTAAAGAATCAAGCAACTTAATTTGATGTATATGTTTCTTTCTTAAAAGCCACGTATCAGCAATTCACGTCTCTGTCAATTTTTTAAAAGATGTTGTGGTGTTCTTGGTGGTCCGTGGTGCAGGGAGAAAGTAAACTATCATAATATTATGCCCAAATATAGTTGTTAGCTAATCTTTTTTTATCAAATGATTAATTATGTAGCAGGGCATGTGGGTGATCATTGATATAAAGTGTAGTATATTGTTTTTCATGTAAATTTTTTTGGTACACAATTTTCATTCTTGCAAGAAGCTATTAGGATTATTGGAGAAAGAGAGGTTAATATATCCTTTATTTTTAATGGGTTTTAAATTGGGTTTTGGGTTATGGGCTATGATGGATATGGGTCAGTGGGCAGAGGAAAATCTAATGGGTTGGAATTTAGTTTTATCCAATAAGAAGATGCCACGTAATAAATATTAATAAAAATAATTAAAAAATAAAAGAGTGTTAGTTTTAAGGGTAAAAATGGATCAAAAAGGTGAATTGAGGGATATTTTTAACCTAATAGGTGAATGAGGGGTATATTTGAACATTTTCGAATAGTTCAACGGTATTTTTGGCCCTTTTCCGTTTTTTTTACTTTCTTTTTTCAAATTTTTAGTTTATGCCTTTATATATATATACTTTTTAATTATTATTTTTAAAATTTTATTTATTTGTAATTTTAATATAGTATTTATTAAATTATTTTTATTCACTTTATCTAATAATTTTTTACTACTAATTGAGTATTTTTTTTTTGTTGAAACATGGAATTTACTAATTTGTATAAATTCATATGCTAAAATGGAATTTGATTCGCAAATTTTTACTTAATTCAGAAAACAATTTTTTTTTTTTTTAAAAAAACAGCCCTGCAAAACGCAGGTGGGCCTGCGCCTTGTAAGGCTAAAAGTTGTCATAGCCTTGTAAGGCACATGGGTTTCTGCGCCTTGTGGCGGAAACCCTGATTTAAACGCCATTAAAATGTATTGCCCTTTTAAAATTTTCGAAAAATTTTGTTGCCATTTTGATTCCGAACTCCAAGTAATTGACTGACCATATAATATAAATAATATTTTCTTTCTTTCTTTCTTTCTTTGTCAATCAATTAACCTGTCTTTTTGTGGTTTTGCTTTTATAAAGTTGGCCAATGTATTCCTTATAATGCGATGACATAAAAGGTTGAGCAAATCACAACCATTCACCTTTATTAATCTATTAAAAAATATTTAACAACCAATTTACTTTAATCTAAAGTAAAATTACACTTAAATAGTTTATAATTTATTTCTATCAATTAATGATAACCTTTTCTTTTTTCTTCTTTTCTTGAAACATATTATTTTAACCTCTCATAGTCGAAGAGTTCTTGTATAGGTGGGTAATGAAGAGTTTTCTAATGTCTTTAATAGTAGTATTAAATAGCAATGGTGGTCTTAGAGAGGTGCCACATCATCCTTGCCTACATTTAGTTTTATATTATATATAGATTGTTATTATTATTAATTCATGAAATATAATAAGATGCAACAAATATATATATATATATAAATACTTTTATAATAAAACAAATTAATAATGAAAATAATGAAAGGAATTTTTTTTAAAAAAAAAGAAGAAGGGAAGACTAAAGATAAATAATATTCTAGGCCATAAAGAGGTGCCATAATAAATTAATATATATACTTTTATAATCAAACAAATTAATAATGAAAATAATGAAAGGATTTTATTTATTTTTTTAAAAAAGGGAAGACTAAAGATAAATAATATTCTAGGCCATAAAGAGGTGCCATAATAAATTAATATGATTGTTATAAATTTAATGAAACTTAATAAATAGGATAGAATATGATTAGTTCTTTGATTTAAAAATAAGAAAATATAGAGAAAAACGTTTAAAAAATGAGAAAAAAGATAAATAGCACGGTAGCCTTAGAGAGGTGCCACATCATCCTTGCCTACATTTAACTTTATATTATATATAGATTTGTTTTAATTTTTTTTTTATATATTATATTGTGAACTGTGATAATACCATACTTTTATTCTCTTTTTCAATGTACCTGTGGATATTATTGTTTTGAATTTATGTCCTTTTCTCTTTGTGGGTAAATTTTTTACTTTTATTGAGGAAATATTTCATGGAGAGTATCATGCTTTATGTGTGGATTGATATGGTGTCGACATTTTTTTCTCACTTTATGAAACAACATTACATTTTATAATATAGGAAAAAGGGTATGATATACCCGTTATACAAATGGTTCACATATGTCCTTACCGTTATAAAAGGAGCTCACATATACCCTTCATCTAATGAAAGTGAAAATATTAGTTTGAAATTTTATTTTCTTTACTTTAAATTTTAGAAAAATTCATGTAGGGGTATATATATGATCCTTCTAACAAAGTTTAAGGTATATTTTAATATTTTTCATACAAAAATTAATCTTTTAACTTCTTTGATTATCATTATTTGAGTTTCTTATTCTTTTTTCTATTCACCTTTATTAATCTATTAAAAAATGTTTAACAACCAATTTACTTTAATCTAAAGTGAAATTACACTTAAATAGTTTATAATTTATTTCTACCAATTAATGACAACCTTTTCTTTTCTCTTCTTTTCTTGAAACATATTATTTTAACCTCTCATAGTCGAAGATTTCCTGTATAGGTGGGGGTAATGAAGAGTTTTCTAATGTCTTTAATAGTAGTATTAATTAGTGGTTTCTTTTATTTTGTTAAAGGTATCAACAAGTGGTCTTCCTTTATTCTTCCCTACTCCCTTGGAGATTAAATTGGGTTCAATTGAAAATTTTCTTAAATTGTGTTAAAGCTTGAAAAAGTTGAGATTGAATCCAATTCAATTTACCTTGAGCCCAACCCTTAAAATTCTAGACCGATTGGGCGGATTGCCTATAGTTGGGCTCATTTTTGACACTCTAACTATTGCGCTAGACATTGATCCACTTCTCAACAATAACTAAATAACACTAAGTACTCTATTATCTCATAAATTTTGATTGTTAAATGCGAAATGGACATCTAATTTAAAACAAAACTCAATGAAAAAAGAAAAATAATTCCTCCCCAACTTCATCTTGTAATCACAGGTTATTCGGATGATTGTTACTTATTATGTTTGTTATTTGTTATTGAGATATAGTATTTATTTTGATTGTTACTTAAGCCTATTTTATCTTTTACTGTTCAGATAATTATTACTTATTGTATTCCTTATTTGGGTATATATAATATTTGTTTTGATTTTTTTTTATATATTATATTGTAAACTGTGATAATACCATACTTTTATTCTCTTTTTCAATGTACCTGTGCATATTATTGTTTTGAATTTTTGTCCTTTTGTCCTTGTGGGTAAATTTTTTACTTTTATTGAGGAAATATTTCATGTAGAGTATCATGCTTTTATGTGTGGATTGATATGGTGTCGATATTTTTTTTCTCACGTTATGAAACAACATTACATTTTAAAATATATGGAAAAGTGTCTGATATACCCGTTATACAAATGGTTCACATATGTCCTTACCGTTATAAAAGGAGCTCACATATATCCTTCATCTAACGGAAGTGAAAATATTTGTTTGAAATTTATTTTCTTTACTTTAAATTTTAGAAAAATTCATGTAGGCGTATATGATCCTTCTAACAAAG